GAGATTAGGCTTGTTTAGAAGAAAGTAAGAGATAATGAGAATACATGATTTTATAAGCTTAGGTTATGCTGGATTGCAAATGACTTTGTGAAAAAATGTTCCCTCTTTATTGCCTTTGAAATGTGGGCTAAAAAGTGAGAATGCTTGTAGGTATTGTGTGTCCTGGAATTGCACTGAATTGGAATTGGTGTTAAGAAAAATAAATCCCAAACAACTGGTGATTTAGTTTTATAGGCACTCATTTATATATTGGGTTTAGGCAGTAATTTCAGGAAAGCATACACAGGAGAACTGTTTGCTGTATGTTCATTTATTCCGCAGAGATTTAGTGAGTACCCATATGTTCTAGCCTCTGCTAGATCCTGCAGGAAGCGAGAGGAGATAATTTCATTGATGCTTCTCAGACCTGGTAGGAGGGAAGATGTCCCTTCAGAGGGACGGCTGATGGACCAGAGAAGGAATAGGGCCTTCTGATGGGCGAGCAGGGGAGGCTCCTTAGAAGAGGTGGCATTTGAGTTGTTTGCTGAGAGACATCTGTTTGTGCCTTTTTAAAAAATATATATATTTTATTGATTTTTTACAGAGAAGAAGGGAGAGAGATAGAGAGCTAGAAATGTCGATGAGAGAGAAACATCGACCAGCTGCCTTTTGCACATCCTATTACCAGGGATGTGCCCGCAACCAACGTACATGCCCCTGACTGGAATCGAACCTGGGACCCTTCAGTCCACAGACCGACGCTCTGCCACTGAGCCAAACTGGTTTCGGCTGTTTGTGCTTTTTTGACTGATCTGTCTTATGTAACACCCTTGACAACTCTCTTAAAACCTCATTTGATTTTCAGTGCTCTACCCCACCTCCTATCTCTGTATCTCCTGTCAGAAGATTTTATGATTCCTGTATCTCCTAGGTCCTCTGTTCATTCTTTTTTCTTCTTCCTCAGAGATATTATTTATGTCTGCAGTTGTAAATATTTGCCTGGACGGATAACTCTAAATCCAGAGCTTGAGCCCAAAGCTGTCTCAGATCCTAGAGGCATCCTACATTTCCAGCTCGTCTCACAGGCAGTTCATGTTGCACTTGTCTGAGTCTGAACTGCCTTCCACAATGCACACCCTCATTCCATTCCTTCCACCCTTCTCTCTCTCCCTTTCTTTCCTTTTCTTCCCTCAGGACTATTGAGCACCCACTATGTGCTAGTTTTCTTCTGGTTTCCTCAGGCTGAGAATATCAGAGTCGTTTTTTATGGACCACTTGTGTCCAAATAATCATTTTATTTCTCCTCATTCTTTCCATCTTAAAATCTTGTTAGTTTTATGCATGCCCATTATCTGTATGTTTTGGGTCACTGCAGTGATCTTCTAAACGTTGACCACCTTCTTCTCCCTCCACCATCAGCATCACCATTGCTTATTAAGTGTCTACTATCTTCAGAATGTTGCTAGGATGCCATGTTCTATAGATTGAAAAGTAAAATAGTGGGGGAGATAAAATAGATGAAAATGATAAAGGAGCCCATCATTAGCCCCAAGGTGATAAGCCCAGTGGGTCGAGGTGGTAAGTCAGCAGGCAGAGTGAGTGAGATAAGGGGGTAGCTGGAGAATGTAGAACTCATTGTCTGGGAAGATAGGTATTTAGGCATTTGGAGAAGGGATTATTATTATTATTTTAAATATATTTTATTTATTTATTTATTTTTTTTTTTTACAGAGAGGAAGGGAGAGAGAGAGAGAGTTAGAAACATCGATGAGAGAGAGAAACATAGACCAGCTGCCTCCTGCACACCCCCCACTGGGGATGTGCCCGCAACCAATGTACATGCCCTTGACCGGAATTGAACCTGGAACCCTTCAGTCTGCAGACCGACGCCCTATCCACTGAGCCAAACGGGTTTCGGCTCTCCTGTAGCCTTCTTACAGACTGGCACGGTGCTTAATATTTTTGTAGGTGGCTACAACTGTTATATTTGCATCTAATACTGCTCTGCATTCATGGGATTTGAACATGATAATATTCGCTGACTTTTGATTTTATTTTAAACTGCCTAACAACCAGGCAGATTATGCAAGATTCTCGGGACCCAGGAGGATACCACATTTGGAGATCCCAGCTTTCAGGGTGGTGGGTAAAATCAGGAGGAACTTTTTATTTTTTTGTTAATCCTCACCTGAGAATATTTTCCAATTGATTTATTTTAGAGAGAGTGGAAGGGACTTGGAGAGACACTTCCAACATGCCCGGTATGGAACCTGCAACCGAGGTCCATGCCCTTGACGAATCAAACTCAGGACCCTTCAGTGCGCAGGACGATGCTCTTATCCTCTGAGCCAAAGCAGCGAGGGCAGAGGAAGAACTTTTGTTTCTTTTCATCTCCTTGTCCCCTTCTCTGGGATGGGTTTCCAGTAACCACAGGAGAGACTTATGTTGGACAGTGGGTCCCCAGCTCCTCTTGCAAAGGGGACCCACTAGTCTAGTTTGCTTCTTCTGTCTTAACGGTCCCTGAAAACCTGAATACGATGTCAACTAAGTTAAAACTTTTTGAGCCCAACTATCAAAAAAAAAAAAAAAATTAGAAATGGATGCTTATACTTTGCTGTTAAGGAGGTCAAAAGACAGCAGAAACAGTGAGCATTATATGGATTAGAGAAGTTGATGCAAGCATAGGTTAGCTGGAACATGTTGGCAGGGGTATAAGGCACTTGGTTTTTAGATAAAGGCGATGCATCCTTTTTCATTTTCTTCCCACCTCCAGGGCTGGTGGGCATTAGAGGTCATGGCTAAGTGAGGGGTGGGGTGGGCTTAAGCTGCCTGGAGGGAGCCTAGTAATAAACTTTATTCATTTATAAGGGGTGGTAGATCAATGGGACTCTCACGTTGGCTGAATCTTCCCTGGGTGTTATGCAAAAAAGAGAAAAAAATTAATAAGCTAAGCGAATGTTCAAAAGAGCAAACAGCTTTCAGCTCTCTCAGCTACTGTGGAAGCACTTTCTTATGAGGAAACAGCTGACCTGCTAATCAGGAAACATCCTTCCCTATTCATTAAGCTAATTATCCTAAGGAAATCTGCCGGCAACACTTCGTCTAGCACTAATTATTGTGTGCCCTTGAAAGCAATAAACTGCACTTTTAGAATAAAATGTTATACTCCAGACATATATATATGGTTTACTCAGATGTTTTCCGTAATTAGAGCGGGGTGGTAATGAGGGGTTTCGCTTTGGCTTTTATGAAAAAGGCTTATCCACCTCTCATAAAGAGATTATAATGAATCCCTAAATAATATAGGATTAGATCTGAGAAGTCTTTGGAGATCATTATTGTTTAAATGTGTGGTGTTTTTTTTTTTTTTTTTAAAGGTCATCTTTTTGGGTGCCTTGGCTTCTAAATAATTTTTATTTTATTTTAGAGAATGAACATCCTATTGTGATTTAAAACAGTGGTAAAACTTATCTGTCACAAACTGAGACGTCGTGTTCCAACAGAGACCTCATTCATTTTAACCTGCTCCCCATGCTTTACCTACAGAGCTCTCTCTGAACACTGGTTTGTAAGGTAGTGAAAGAGTCCTGCATATGCATGGTCTGCAGAGAACAGCAGTTATTTAAGAGTTAGCTGACTAAAACGAGCAGACTGTCGAGGAGCACGGGATGGCTCAGACCAGTCTGGGGACGGGGCCACGTGCTCCCGTCTTAGGAGTGTGCCCTTCAGTTCCTGGGCCCAGAGCTTCCAGGCAGACTGTGACATGGGCCTTCTCCAGGTGATCTTGGACAAGTTACCCCGATCTCTGTGCTATGGTCCTCTTATTTGTAACTGAATAACAGAACCTTCCATCTCCAAGAGCTGTTGTGAGTATTCAGTGAGTTAATCCATGCAAAGTGCTCTTACATAGTAGCTCAAAGTGATTCCATAGTAATTCACTCACCCATCCATTTATTCCTTCACTTACTCTTTCATCCCCCTTCTGTGCCCTCACCATGGTTTGGGCCGTGCTGTGGAGACTGGCATTAGAGGCACAGCAGTCAGACCAGGTCCCTGTCCTATAGGAGCCCATAGTCTAGGGGGCAGAGACAGATCATAAATAAGTAAACTAATTAACAAGTCCAGAAACTAGTAAGTGTTAATAAGACAATGAGTAGGGGAATATAATGACTGCATTATGGGAAGAGACATCATCATTGGCTTTGATGGGCTGGCATGGCCTCTGAGGAGGTGACATTTGAGCTGAAAGACCTGAATGATGAGATAAATGTCTGCTGTCGTTAAAATAAAGATTTCCTTTGTGTTGGTGGCTCTCTCCATATTGTTTTCTTTTGCCAATTTCGTGTATGTTTTTAAAAATTTATTAAATCTTTATTGTTGTCGAAACCGGTTTGGCTCAGTGGATAGAGCATCAGCCTGCGGACTAAAAGGTCCCGGGTTTGATTCCGGTCAAGGGCATGTATCTTGGTTGCGGGCACATCCCCAGTAGGGGACATGCAAGAGGCAGCTGATCGATGATTCTCTCTCATCGATGTTTCTAGCTCTCTATCCCTCTCTCTTCCTCTCTGTAAAAAATCAATAAAATATATTTAAAAAAATCTTTATTGTTAAAAATATTACTTATGTCCCCCATTGATCCCTTCTAGTGCCCTCCTCCCCCCAATCCCTTCACCCCCTAGGCATTCATCACCCTATTGTGAGTGTCATGATTCATACATGTATGCATACAAGTTCTTTGGCTGACCTCTTCCCACCCACCCTCCCAGCCACCCTCCCCCACCTTTCCTCTGAGATTCCACAGTCTGTCCCATGCTTCTACGTCTCTGGGTCTGTTTTGTTCATTAGTTTATTTTGTTCATCGGATTCCACATCGTTCTCTCCATATTATTTTGAAATCTCAACATCAACGGACAGTCCTTCCCAGCAGGACACCACCGGGCAGTCGTGAGTCCTTCTCTCACCAGCACAGGACTGTCTCCCAATCAGTCATTGTAACAGCTTGGAGCTCCTTTCCCCCACTTTCATCTGGACACTGCCCAGATCTGCCCGCCCCGGGCTCTCCCCCGCTCGCCTCCAGCTGGGTGCTCACCCACCTTGTCATGCCTCAGTTTTCGGAAGAGCCTGACTCCGTTCTTCCCGACCGACAGGAAGTACAGGACCGGGTTGAGGCAGCAGCTCATGCTCACCAGCGGCCTCCACACCTTGTAGGCCGCGCTGGCCACCGTCAGGAGCCGGCAGTCCTGGGACATCAGGAAGCGGAGCGTGATGTAGAAGGAGCGGGAGACGTGGAAGGGCACGAAGCAGAGGGCGAAGAGGCTGCACACCAGCAGGATGGTCCGGATGGACTTGGCCCGGATGGTGGTGCCCGCCCCCACGAGGGTCTCTGCCGGCTTGGCCAGGCTCCGGACCATCAGCGAATAGCACACCAAGATGACCAGGGAGGGCAAGACGAAGCCGGACAACGTCAGGACCATACTGTAGGCGAAAAACTGATCGAAGTTCTCTTGACCCGTCATGTCGTAGCAGACCATCTGGCCGTGGATGTAGTCCGTGTGGCTGAAGCCCAGCGTGGGCAGCAGCTGGAGGACCACCAGGGCCCAGGTGGCGGCGGCGCCCCGCAGGGCGTGCCGGCGGGTCCGGTAGGGCAGGGACCTCAGCGGGTGGCACACGCCCAGGAAGCGGTGCACGGAGATGCAGGTCAGCAGCAGGATGCTGCCGTAGAGGTTGGTGTAGAACAGGAAGCGCACCAGCCGGCAGAGCAGCTCCCCGAAGGGCCACCAGTCGCCCAGGGAGTAGGTGACGATGAGGAAGGGCAGCGTCAGCACGTACAGCAGGTCGGCCACCATCAGGTTCACCAGGTAGATGGTAGCGCAGCTCCAGCGCTTGGTTTGGCGCCAGGAGAGCCACAGGACGGCGCCGTTCAGGGGCAGGCCTAGCACGAAGATGATGCTGTAGGTCAGGGGGAGGTAGATCTGCTTGTAGTCCTCTGAGAGCAGGCACAACCCCGTTTCCTCGGAGGCATTCGTATCCTGCATCTCCATCTCCTGGGAGGCTCCTTCTGGGAGCCCAGCTGCTCCTGTTGCTCCTGCTGCCCCTGGGAGGAAGCAAAAGGGACCAGAGCCTTAGCCAGTTTAGCTCAGTGAATAGAGCATTGGCCTGTGGTCTAAAGTGTCCTGGGATTCAAATTCGGTCAAGGGCATGTGCTTTGATTGCTGGCTCCTCCCCAACCCAGGGCCCTGGTTAGGGCTCGCACAGGAGGCAACCAGTCAATGTGTTTCTCTGACATAAATGTTTCTCTCTGTCTCTCCTTTCTCCCACTCCCCCTAAAAATCAATGGAAAACACTTTTGGGCCAGGATTAACAACAACAACAACAACAACAACAACAACAACAAAGGAGGGGGGGGGGCTAGCTGGTTTGGCTCAGTGGATAAGAGTGTCGGCCTGCGAACTGAAAGGACCCAGGTTCGATTCCGGTCAAAGCACATGTCTGGGTTGTGGGCTCGATCCCCAATGGGGAGGAGGAGACTTGCAGGAGGAGATGATCAATGATTCTCTCTCATCACGGATGTTTCTATCTCTCTCCCTCTCCCTTCTCTGAAATCAATAAAAATATATTAAAAAAAAGATAGATTAAAAAAAAAGGGAGGGGGGAGTACTGCAGAGCATCATGATCTTGGCTGGATCAGCCAATACCTGGATCTGGCAGCTTTGTACTATACGTGTGGTTCAACTCAAAGTGTGGTCAGAGTCCTATTTGAGAGAGACCATCTCCGGGTGAGGGGTAGGGGGAATGGAAGAGAGAGAATTTAATTCATTTTTAGGCTTACCAGGTCCAAGGGCTGGCCCGGCATTGACTTGCATGCTCTCTGCTGCGGGCTTGTGCTAGGAAGCTCAGGTGCATATGGTGGCCCCTAGATTCTGCTGCCTTTAAACAGGGCACACAGCCTCTAGCCCCGGGGCTCCTCCTCTGGCTGGCATCCTTTGCATAGAGTCAGGAAATCTCCAAGGGGAGCTGTCCCAGGCTCGCATTCTCAGGACGCGATGCTGCTCACCATCTGGTCCTAACCCCACTTGCCATGGTGGAAAAGACAGTGATCCTTGGGGGTTATGGGGGATTAGGGAAAGCACAGGTTTTGCCTACAGGCACTGCTGGAAGATTTGGATTTGTATCTCTTTCAGGATTTATTAACTGCGTATTTGAATACAGAGACTGATTTGCCTATTAACCATCTCAGCACCCCGAACAGCCAAGAAAACAAGCCTGAGCCGTGAAGCCAGGTGCAGCTTCTTCCTTACTCCCATCCCAGCAGACAGAGCAGACCCAATGGGCAGGGCTGCCAGCCGAGGAAGCTGTGTGTGTGGGGCCCGCAGATTTGGTCCCATTGGGAAGTCAGTGGGCCAGTCAATCAGCATGGAGCCTACAGGGATGGAAAGACGTTTATTTCTAGGACTTAATTCAGAAAGATGAGTGAATATAGGGCAAGAGAGAAAAAAAATCAAGGTAAGTAATTTCAGATACATTGAAGGTTGATTATACACTTAAAATATATAGAACTTCTCTGGAACTTCGCTGGAACTGTTATTCACAATAAAAGGAAAAGACCTCATTCACTTAGTCAACACACATTTATTGAGCATCCATTGAGTCAGGCACTGGGACCGCAAAGATGAATAAAACAGCCCTTGTGCTCTAGGATCTCAGTCTGGCGGGAAGACAGAAGCTCAGAAGCTGATGGTAATGCAATGTGAAAAGTGGTCCAAATGCCGGGAAAACCAGTAGGATGTGGTAGTTCTCTCCTGAGAGGGTGGAGTGGAGGCTTCCTAGACTGGGCGCCCTGTGAGCTGCTTGGGAGAATAAAGAGGAGCTTGGGAGGCAGAGAAGGTCAGGGGGGTTCCTGGGTGGGCAGTGCATGCGAGGAACTGGCGGGGAGGGCTCAGTGTCCTGGGATGGGGCAGTGTCCTGAGATGGCAGGAGAGCCAGTGTGGGGCATGAACTTCAAAGATGCCACCATAAGGAGGATGAAGTATGGTAGCAACCTTCCGTATGTAAAAACTGCTGTTTGAATTTTAACCCTGCTATTCTGGCTTCTGCACTCACTTACTTGTTTAAACAAAAGGGTGGTTACCTCAGCTTCCAGATTGAGACCTGGAAACTCACGAAGGTAACTTTCCTGTGCCTGTGGACCAGGACCACAGGAGATTGATTCCCATAGACTCAGTAGCTCCAGGAGTTGAAACTGCAGATAACCTTTAGAGATTAACTAGGCTCAGTTCTGCTTCTGTACTATCTGCTTTCGCAGGATAGGTCCATATTCCAATGCCCAGCAGGATGTGGCTGGGAACCATCCTGTGGGCTGTTCCCAGCCTTTAGAGCAAAGGAAAATTTTTGTGGTTTAGACCTTTAAAAGGACTGCCTACACCTGGAATGGCGCAGTCGTGAATGTGGACTCCACCTGCATGTGGTGCTCTTGTGGCTGGCCTGGCCAGTTTAATAAATCCTTGCCTGTTTTATTTTTTTATTTTTTAATTTTATTTATTTATTTATTTATTTATTTATTTATTTATTTATTTATATCAATTAGCAGCCTCTGGTGGTCTTATTTTGACTCCAGGGTTTGACCCCACAACAGAGGTAGCATATCCCTAAGCAGGACAGTGATGGGATAGGCTCTGCTTGAGGGAGATGACTGGCAGCAGCAGCACAGGATGGGCCTGGAGCAGTCAGACTGTAAGGGGGGCTTTAGTGGTGCATGTGCATGAGAGGTACTCAGTACCCCAGGTGAAGCCGTGCAGGGTGGACAGAGGAGAACCTGACCCCAGAGATGCTGCTGAGGCAGGAGTGACAGGACTGATTGGATATGGGGCATGAGCCTGAGGAGGGGTCGGGGGTGTCCCTGAGGCTGGGTGGGGACTGAGGCCCGTGCCTAGGCTGAAGCCTGAAGCTTGAAGGCTGGGACTGGTATTCTGAGGTTGTGGCAGTGGCTCTGCTGCAGCCTGCCAAGGAGTGGACACCTCGCCACTGGCTTTAGAATCCACCCCACAGGGGAGCATGGCTTCTTGGCTGGTGAGTAAAAGGAATGTAGTTTTCATTCACTCTGTTCCCTGTAATCTTTCATGTGGGAGGCTGGCAGGTGCTTAGTTATTTCCAGCGAAGCTGCCTTCCCAGGTCTGGGTGGGCTCTCAGAGGGAAGCCGGGAGGGAAGCAGCCAGGTGGAGCCCTGGCTCAGCCAGTAGTTTACATCTGTGATCTTACTTAATCTCAGAACAATTTTTCGATAAAGCATTAATGTCCCATTTCACCGAGGAGGGTCAGAGAAGACATGCCCGTAGGCTCACGGTGCCTCTACTCTAGAGGGCTCTCTCCTGCTGGGCATCTATGTCCACCCCTCACAGCGTGCTGTGGGTGGTCCAAAGCACTCAATTCTGACTCCACCAGGACCACTTGAAACAAATCACCTTGTCTCTCAGCTAGGGGCTCCTCAGCTGTAGAATGGGATGTCTCTCTGATGAGGTTGCTCCAAGAAGCAATTCCACCATGGCCACTATTCACCAAATTCTCCTCTCTCTAACCCCCAGCTGGCCTCTCTTTCACTCTGGGTCTTTTCCTTGGTTCTATGAATAGCTACATAGACTTCAATTCCTCATCCCAATGAATGTCTCTGGGGAACAGGAGAGAAGTCTGGGATGACAGAGGCTAGAGAAGGGACCTTCGAGGTCAACAATGGCACAGCTTTTGGCGGGTAAATTAACACTTCATGGCCTGAGTTTTTCTCCCTCTTCCTTTCTCCATAATATCTTCCATGAGGCACTAGTCTAAACATATGTATTACTATTTGTAATCCTTTAAACAATAAAAAAAGAAAGAAAAACAAATAAAGAACTGTTCTCTAACAAGTGTTAATGATACATGTTCCCAGAGTTCAGATAAAGGAAAAGTTATGAATGAATTTGAGTGACAGCAAAATGCAACTGCTTTCCAACTGTAGAGGAGTGATTGGGTCAAAAAATTTTGAGACAAAAAGTAGGCATTGCTCATTTTCATATTAAAATGCCACTATGGTATCATAAATATACATACATATATGAATTTTCTTTTAGCATTAAATATTTTACTTGCATCTGGAGACCTTCTTTAAATGATTAAGCTATTTAATGGATAATAATTTGTTTTTAGAAGTTATTCTGAAAAATTTGATTCATGTATGCATTTCTTTTTTCTTTTTTTTAAAATATATTTTATTGATTTTTTACAGAGAGGGAGAGGGATAGAGAGTTAGAAACATCGATGAGAGAGAATTATCGATCAGCTGCCTCTTGCACACCCCCTACTGGGGATGTGCCCGCAACCAAGGTACATGCCCTTGACCGGAATCGAACCCGAGACCTTTTAGTCCGCAGGCTGACACTTTATCCACTGAGCCAAACCGGTTTCGGCTGATTCATGTATGTATTTCTTAATTTACAAAGATAAATTGGGGATTTATTATTCAAATCACAACTTAATTATTTGATTTTTCAACAAGCTTTTAAAAATGGGGGCCCCAAATACATTTAATCAAGTGGTAGATGTAAGTAGTCTGCATTGTTTTGAATTACTTTCCCCTTCTTTTAAATTCACCGGGAAATTTGGTGTTGTTTGGCCAACAGACCACTGGATGGCGTGGAAGACCGACAGACAGGTTGCAGTTTTCTCCAGCAAATGGAAGCAGGATTCGGGGTAGGGCTCAAGTTCAGGAACAGCAGCTGTGGGTGAGATATGATTCACTGAGAACATAGAGAAATCCCACCAACAAACCACCTCCTCTGGGTCTTTTGTCTGCAGTTACAGTTCAGTTCACACAATGAGTTGGTATTACAGTCAGTGAAAGCAATCTGTTATTGTGACTGATTTTCCAAAGGATCCTGTGAGATAAGCATGGCAGTCATTCTCCCATTTTACAGCCAAGCAAACCGAGGTTCAGAGAGGTTCTGTGGAAGTCCTGTGCGCTATGATCTGGGAAAAACCTGGACTACTTTTATTTTTTTATTTTTTTATTTTT